ACGGAGTTCTACTTCACCGCATTTTAATCGTTGTTTTATGTAAAAATTAATTATTTATGGGAAGCACATTTCCACCATGCAATAAAAAATAAAACGGAACCTCCGACGTCTAATCTGACAATTGTGACTTTTTTTTAAGCATCAGAATTGAGATGTAAACTCCGATTTGCAAGAAAAACGGAATTGTGAGATAATTGTGAGACATTGTGAGACAAAAACAAAGCAAAACAGAATTGCAAGATTTAAACTGTGAATTATGAGAAAAAGACAGAATTGCAAGATATAAACTGCGAATTTTGAGATATTAACTCAGAATTGTGAGAAGAATTATGAGTTTATATCTCATGATTCAGACTTTTTCCCCCTTAGAATTACAAGAAACACAGTCTGAATTGTGAGATAAAAAGTCACCATTACCCTTTTTTATTTTAAATATTTTTTTTTAATTCCATGGCAGAAATGGGTTTCCTTAGTTATTAGCCTATTTTTGATGTTGCAGCATTTTTGTGTTTAAAAATGCAAGACACAGGGCAGTGTGTGTGTTTGTTTGTTTTTTTGAAGTTGAACTACTTTTAACTTGAGAGTGTTTATAGTTTCAAAAGACTCAAAACAGTTAAATAAAAAAATGCAACAGTTAAATACAAATGCAAAAATGCTCTCTGTGTTACAAGATGACATTACGACAAGACTTGATCACTTCCTGAGTTTTCCCAGAGCACCTGTATCTGACGCTGAGCTCCGTCTGCACTACAGTAACAGTCTCAAATCGAAAACACACAGGGCGGAGGAAAACTCAAGGAGCATTGAACAGGTTTTCAGCAGAACAAGTTGGGGCACTTGCTCTGGGAAAAAAAAAAGAAGACGAACTTGCTTCCACTTTTCCTGTCAACGATCGTAATCTCAAATCAGAGTCACTAATCTTAGCTTGTATGCAACCTGGTGGTAAACAACCACGATGCAAGCATACTTAATTGCTCATGTTTTTATATTTCATGTCAAATGTCAAAATATGGTTTGAAGAATTAGCTAATTGCTTGCGCATTCTTCACCTGACCCTGAGGAGAAACAAATAAGTGCATGCTGACAGATGATGTGATTATTGTTTTCAAATTATCTCCTGCATCACAACTAATTGTGGTTCTGATCACATGAACAAAGAACATGGATATAGCTAATGACGGTATCTGCAGGATTTTTAAGCTCAGATTTAGGACTTTTTAAGACCTGCACAAATAATTTATCTGATGTCTGTGCGCTGACGCGATCTTCTTATCGATCCACCAGTTCATATTTAAAAACATGTTTTTTATATATTAATTAAATAACATATGAATATATTTTACTGTCTTAATTGTTTAGATTTTTATAATGCATTATCTTCTTGTCGATCCACCAGTTCATATTTAAAAACATGTTTTTTTTTTACATTGGTCTGAACAAAAACAGCAGACGGGCTGATAGAAAATACACATTAATTCTCTGCCAGAGCGGTTTCCCCGGTAACAGCTGTAAATAAAGCAGCGCAGCATCTGACTTTAAACGTGCAGCGCTCATTTTATTAAATTAAATCATAGCCTTTTGAAGTTTAATCGTTTCAAACCATTTATAAGTTCATTTTTAATCGCTTCAAACCATTTTTAAGTCAAAAGTATCATTTACATGAATTTAATTTTTTTTTATCAATCAATTATTATATTAATTAAATAACATATAAATATATTTTACTGTCTTAATTGTTTAGATTTTTATAATGCATTATCTTCTTGTCGATCCACCAGTTCATATTTAAAAACATGTTTTTTTTTTACATTGGTCTGAACAAAAACAGCAGACGGGCTGATAGAAAATACACATTAATTCTCTGCCAGAGCGGTTTCCCCGGTAACAGCTGTAAATAAAGCAGCGCAGCATCTGACTTTAAACGTGCAGCGCTCATTTTATTCAATTAAATCATAGCCTTTTGAAGTTTAATCGTCACATTTAGCCATATCGCAAATCTAATCTTTCCGTCTCCAAATTTAAGACCTCTTGAAATCATAATAAAGACTTTCTTGTAGCATTTAAGACTTTTTATAGTCTTAAATTTGACAACTAAATTTGAGACTTTTTAAGGACCCGCGGAAACCCAGTAATGAAAAAAAACAAAAAAACAATTAACATTAGCATGATAAATCCAGTCAGGTGACATCATGAGTTAACTCATGAAATCTGTCTGGAGAAACAAAACCATTCTTTTTCTCGGGCTGAAGATGCAAGACTGGGTCAAAATTAACGGGTTCAAATGTGCCGGATGTTCATTTTAACACTCATACATCCCATAATATGAATCTCAGGAAGCAGATGGCTTTTCGCCCTTTCCTGTAAAATGTTAATGCACTGACAAAACGAGAGGAACAGAAACGAAGCGGGAGTGTGTGTGCAGGTTATTTTGAAAGAGAAAACCAGAATTTCAGTCTCTTGTTACACCTGGTTTTCCCTCCTTTTATTCCAAGGAACCTGCACAATCACAAGGTCATTTAGAGGAAAAGAAACTGTCAAGAGTTATTAAAACCAGACTGTTTTCTTCGTTGTAATGTCTTAAAATGTTCAAATGCCTTTTATGTATAGATTTTATTCTTTTACTCATGTCCCAAATCCACTTTTAAACTTAAAAGGATTATCCATCATTAATAAATGAATTATTACATTTAAAACTATGATAACTGTGATACAGTGAAATAAACAAATAATTTCAGTATGTATTGTGTGAAATTAGAAAAATATATAAATTATATATGAATTATAAATTTACATTATATAAATATAAACTGTCCCACAAACATTTTGCCACTAATAAAAGTTTTGTTTTTAAGAAAAAAAAAACTTATTTGTGGCAAAATTGATTGGTAGAAATGATGCCTCAAATGTGTCTCGAATTAGAATTTTTGTAATTTAAAAACTTAAAAAAAAAATTATAATATTAAAATATAAAAAAATAAGACTAGTGAGAAGAAAATAAAGAAAACTAAAGATGGATATCACTTGCAAACCGTATTTTAAATGTATGTCATTTCCAATCAAGCTGTAATTTTCTCAAAATTATGCAAAAAAAAAAAAAAAGTAACTGTCAGTATGTACTACATCAAATTTTAGCTGTGAAATAGACCCTTTTCCCATTTTCAGGGTTTTTAGAAGCAGGGTAAACTTCTATAGTAATGAATGGAAATGAAATTATGATTTCTTTTTTTGTTTTGCGTTCCCATTTGCTCCAATAGTGTAAGGAACACTCAGATTTAACAGACTCAAACATATTTAACTAGTTTTATGCAATTTAATGCGAAGGTAAATTAACAAAAATATAGTTTTATAAATGCACATATTGAAAGTCTATGAAATGGGTACATTAGCCTTAGCAAGACAAATGAGTCACTTACTTTATTCCAAAAATGTTCAAAATGTAATTTCCCAAGCAATCATTTCCATCATAGAATGCTATTACACACAATACATCAGAGTTGAGATGTGCTGGAAATGACACATGAATGTAGAAACAGAGGAAGGGAAGACTCACTGAAACAGAGATGGCGTGGACACCTTCTTCAGGGGGCGGAAGCTCTTGAGGAAGGAAGTGGTTAATAATTAAGCCCCTTAGCTTTTAAACACGGCCCGGGCAGATGTTAACGTGTTTCTAACGTGTGCTGTCAGAGACACTTCTGAGAACAGAAGGGAGACAAATTACATCCCGAATGAAGCTCCTAGCCTACGACATCCCTTTAGGACAGATCCAAGACCAGCTCTCATTTGTCCCGACCCAAACAAGTATATGAAAACGGCCATTTGACCTAATAAAAGGCACCTGTAATCACAACATAGCGTGTTGGCCTGAAGGTATCTGCTTTAAACAGGTCAAATATATACACTTCACGTCCGTTAGGCCTTCAGGTGAAAAGCTGACGAAAAACCAAATGACCTGGAAACCTTGGGAAACTGGATCATATTGTAATGAGTTAGAATTAAGGGATATTCCACACAAAAATTTACTCACCCTCAAGTCATTCCAAACCTGTATGAATTTTTTTCTTATGTGGAACAGAAAGGAAAGAAGATATTTTGAAGAATGTTGGGAACCAAACGGTTCCATACTAAATACTATGTTGTTGGCTGAATGGTTTCAAACCCCACTTCCATAATATTTTTTTTGTCCATACTATGTTGGTAACCAAATGGTTTTAGGTCCCATTGACTTCCACAGTATGGACAAAAAATAAAACACTTGAGATAAAAAATAATATGTGAGAAAAAAATGAAGAGAACTCAAGATAGATATCACATATTGAACGGTTTTGGGTCCCACTGAATTCCACAGTATGGACAAAAAAATACCACGGAAGTCAATGGAACCTGAAACTGTTTGGTTTCCAACATTCTTCAAAATATCTTCTTTGTTTTCCACTTATTTTTGGGTGAACTGTCCCTTTAAAGTCACTTTAAACTTTAATTTAAACAAGGCAAGATGCAAGATCCTTGGACCAAAGAAGATTTTTGTTTTCCCACGCTTTGGCATTACAGACAATATATTTAATGGGCTTCTCATGATGAAATATAAATGGTGCGTCACATTAACGAGCGTATTAGAGAGAGGAGGAAGGGGATGTTTCTCAAATACAAACAAAGCTGACCTCTGTGCAGACAGGTTTTGGAGCAGCAAACCTTCCAGCTTTGATCCTGAACTAGTGGCTTTCAGCCATTACAAGGTCATGGAGGTTCACTCAAAGCATTCCTCGACTTAATAGGTCACTACGCTAATAGACTATGTGGAGATGGGTGGGAGTGGGTTGACACAGGTATGCAGAATCTCACAGGGACTGTGACACACTCAGAGGGCCTCTTACACAGTGTATATGAGAGAATTTCTTATAATAGCAAATGCATTCTACATTTTTGAAAACTTTTCCCTCTAATACATATACTGGAGAGTGCAACAGTCAGCTTGCAGAAATAAAAATTCAATTCATTTTCACCATAGAGTTCATATGCCCCAAACATCTTATACATGTTCAAAGGTTTTTTTCTGTAATTAATACTTTTATTCAGCAAGGATGCATTAAAATGATTAAAAGTGGCAGTAAAGACATTTATAATCTTACAAAAGATTTCTATTTCAAATACATGCTGAAGAATCATGAAAAAATGTACCATGATTACCAATAATAACTGATCAGTCAGTGATTCGTGGAATTATAGTTCATTCCTAATTAACTATAAGAGGACATTTGGTCGTTTATCATGATTTTTTTCTTCAAATCAAAGTTTGTAAAGTTGTGATTCATCCCAGAGCTGGTTGAACTATAGTTAAAGGCTTAGAAGTCTTTATTGAGGAATTTTCTGAAATCGTTATGATGAAAATTAATTGGAAAAATACTACTAAAACCAATACAGCAAAAAAAAAGGAAAAAAAAGTGTCCGGTTACAGCCTAGCAACCACATAGCAGCCACCCACAACATCCTAACAACCACTTAAAACACAACAGCAACCACCTAGCAGTCCCTTACAACCTAGCAACCACTAGCTAACACCATAGCAACAATCCAGAACACCCTACCAACAACCTAGTAACCATCCAGAACATCACAGCAACCACCTAACAGCCACTTAGAGCAACCTAGCAACCATACAGAACACTGCTAACCACATAACAATGGATGCTTTTCAGAAACTGTGGGAACGCAAAAAATATATTCGATGTAGTCTTTATGACTTCCACTGCTGAGAAACACGGAAATGTGAAAAAGGTCCATGCACTAAAAACACTCAAAACACCTTAGCAACTGCAAAGCGATGACCTGGCAACCACGCACAACACACCAATTATGAACTTTCCAATGGAAAGCACCACAAACTTCAGAAAATCTGATCGACACTGAAAAATATTTGGTGTATATTTGGCTGAAACAATTTTCTCTCATGGATTGCAAGTAAATTTCACAAATAATTACAAAGAAATGGAGAGTAACATTGAATTAAACATTAAAGATTGAAATGTTCTTTTAAAACACTACAGTAATCTTTGTTTTATTTATAACTATGATTTTTGTGTACAGTGTACTGCTTAATTTTTAGTTTTAATTTGTAGTAACATTGTGTACAGTATGTGTAAAGCGCAACACAAAAAAAAAAAACACTTAAGTAGTATTCAGTGACTAATATTCAGTTTAATGTTCATTTGAGCCATTAAAGATGCTTTGGATGGGTGGACTGAGCTACTGGCTTCTCTCCAAGCCTCAAACAGCATTGAGGTGAAGTGAGCCGGTGAAAGTGTGAGGTCTGTGTGACTAAATCGAACAAGACTAATGATAAGACTAACTCAGGGTAATCAATCAGCTTTTCACACGACCAGTGTGTGAATGGAGCCCTTCCTATGCTGTTCTTTATGTTGACTTAGCAGGCAGACACGTTGAGAACGGCACACAATTACAAATTCTCCTGGCAATTGATGTCAAACAGTGTGTGGATGTGGAGCTGTTTGAGGACTGAATCTATATGCTCACTTGCAAACAGAAAACGGCCTTCGAGGGGTATGAAGTGAAACAAACAGATAAAAAGATTTGAGAGAAAAACAGAAACCGGCTCCTCCACTGTTACATGACATCAGTGCAGGACTCGCTCGCGTGTGGCGCTGCTCATCTGAAACCTACACCTCAGATAATTACAGGGCCGTGACACGCTTTATGACACACCCTCGCGTAAGCACACGCACACAACAAGTTGTCTGTATTTTTGAATGTTGTCATTGTACTCCTACTGCCAACCTCTTACTGAAGGAGGTCATGGAGCCACAGCAGAGAGGCCTGTGGCAAACAATTGATCCACACTGCTCATTTAGTCACAAGGTCGGTTTTTCATTGAAATATACACAGTATTAAAACCACTACCTTGATTTGACAGGAATACCATCTCACAGATTCTCAAAATTTAATGAGACATTTTACACATATATGAAAACAAACATCTTAACACAGCTGAAGTACAGTAGGACCATGCAGTAGCTTTAAACTCTTGGGGGAAAATATATACTTGTGCGATAATTTAAAGAATTTCTTCTTTTAAAAAATGTAATCTGGTTAAGCTCAGACACAACTTAATAAGTTAGTAATAAATTATATAAACATAGTATAATTTTCAATTAGGAAGTAGCTACTGGTCAATTGTTTTAAATTAGGGTGTGAATTTTTTTTAATCAATTATTTTCCAGTTTCTGTAATTTGTTTTAACATGTCTATTTTATTTTTACTGATGTTTGTGTAGTTTTCCCAAATGAAAATTAATTACCAATTAAACTACAAATATCTCCAGAAAACACATTTTGTTTGAAACATCTTGGGGAAGAACATCTCTTTTTCTCAAAGAGAGAGAAAAATTACTGACAGACAGACAGATAGATCTTCACAAATAAAAGACAAGAAGCCATTATGAAGTTTATTATCAATTAATCTTTTATTAAATGACTATAAAAGCTACATTAAAATATGGACATTCCATAAATTATTTATGGAATAGTCCGAAAAAAAACAGGATTTTGAGAATCCTACATTCATACATTAACACTGACTTATGTAAAGTTGGTATAGTGCATAACAGTGCAACATGTGGTCAGAGACAGTGAAGGAGGAGAGTCAGGCAGGGCCTGCTTTAATTGTCAAATGACAGTGCTTCATTGAGCAGTTATGAAGTGAGCACACTTTTTTTCATGACGAGTCCCACGTGGGCTCAAATGAGCTGTGATTCTCACACTTGACTGGCTGTCTTTGGGCAGGTGATGAAGTTTCTCTCGTTCAGCGGCACATGCCTTCGTTTACAAACACAGAGAGGTAGTTATTCAGGGTGTGCGTCAAAATGATTTTCAGAACAATAATTGCAGGGACAGTCCCATGATCACGATGATAATGGCCGAAGTCTATGTTTCTGCCCAGGCCATGGTTCACTTATGAAACTGAACCTGCGACCTGCTTAACTATAAAACAATGTTTAAAAAAATCGAACGCACATGCTTCAATGAATAGCATAACTAACATTACATCTAGTATAGATTCAAAACAAGAGCAATAATGCACATCCCGTGTATGTAGCCTTACGTGAACTACTAAATTAAAATATAGCCACAAAAACAACCCGCTGTAGCAACTGTTCTTAAGGGCCCTGCAGCTCGTGCTATACAAAACTGAGCGCTAAAAGCACAAGATGTTCTCAGCTAAAGGCACCTCAGGCAGCAAGAGCACTCTCGTCCTTTATTGTCTCGCTTTCGTCTCTCAGGAATGCTCGAAATATCACTTTGCCCTGCTGTGCCATTCACTTTGGTCTTTGCAGAACATCATCTTGCACTTAAAATCTCTCTAATATGAAATAATGAAATAATAACGTTCAATAAACCTACTTTAACTTAAAATATGTCCATTAAATGAAGCATTTTCAACAACAAAAATCGAATGAAATCAAATATTTGAATGGATTTGATCTAGTCTTGTATGAACTGAAATTTCTTAAGTTAACCTACATGATACAACAAATATGAAAATGAACATGCGTGACCACACAAAATATTATTTATATACATACTGTATTGTGTGTGTCTGTTTTAGTCCATATATACTGCATATACATATATTATGCAAAAAAAATTGACATACAACCAGAAGTAAAAAAAAATAACAATAAATTTTAATTTGAATATTACTAAATAAAATAAAGTACTAAATAAAACGCTTGAGAATTTCACACAGTATTAACTTTTGATTAAGTTTTTTTAATTATTTTGCATTAGCAGATTTTAATCAATTAACCTAAACACACAATAAAAATGAAAGTTTTGGTGCTCTAACCAATATTTTTACAAATCTGATACAGTTCCTCTACTGTTCCTGATCTGTTTCCACATCACTACATCCAGACAACATAAGCCCAGTGGTGGCAAAACGGCAAGCTAAGCATGCTTTCAGATTAAAAACACTATCACAATGTGTCTCTCTCAAGCTCCACAGCCTGAGACCTCTGCAGTCCATCATATGATGGGAGTATGAAGCATGCGTGTCTGTATGGACCAGCTGCTTCCCGCTGCACACCCTCTGGGGTCCACAGTAATTGTTTAATCAGATTATCCTGCAGAGTTTAGCCACGCTGGATTTAGCCGTTTGTCGGCACTGTGAGGTGCAGAAGGCCCAGCGTGAGCCATTGAGACAGAGTGGCCTGGTGGACAATGGAGGTGTAGAACGGCCAGTCCCAGGGGAAGACAGCAGGTACGGACTGTCTGTCTGGAAACATAGAAACTGAGCACCGGTAATCATAAGTGCCAGATGCCTCTATTTACAGCTGGGGTGGTATATAGCCCAAAATAAGGATCTCATAGGGACTTTACTTTGAGAATGACAGACAGAATGAGATCTGAGAGTTCGTTCAAAAATTACAGACTGTGTTCTGTGGAACACAAAAGAAGATATTTTGAAGAATGTTGGTAACCAAATGATTTCGGGTCCCATTGACTTCCATAGTATGGACAAAAAATACTATGGAAGTCAATGGGACCTGAAATTGTTTGGTTAGCAACAATCTTCAAATTATCTTCTTTTCTGTTCCACAGAAGAAAGAAAAGCATACAGGTTTGGAATGACATGAAGGTGAGTAAATGATGAAAGAATTGACATTCTTTGATGGACTCTTTAAATCACATATTCAAATTTGACACACCAGATTTGACGTCAGTGACATCAAACGCCACTGGTTCATCTGTGCAAGTCTGAATAATGCTAAATAATTCTCCTATATTCCTCACACAAACCTATTTACCTGTACAGCTTAAGATGATTTAAAATGTAGTGCATCGGTTATATTAACAACTTTTATGGTGCTTTTTGTCATTTACGGTCACTTGGGGCCCTATGAAATTTTCTGGATTCCGTTTTAATGGTTATATTAAATTTTTGTGATCAAATAGCATGTCCAATTAATTGAAAAATCTTTTAGTTTTTCCCAAATTCTGTTTTCTGTTTTAATTTTTCTGGAT